AATTATTCACATATGGAAATGTACATTTTTAATTGGTATGTTTTTTAAACAAAGGACACAGGCTTCTGATACTGCATTCACATACTTCATTATATGGCCTCTATGTTTCTGCTGTACAGAAAACATTGATATTGCACAACATTTTTACTGCACAAACTATTTTCTAGTCTAGTCATTTTTCCTCTCTTCTCTTTCTTTCTCCTCCAAAAAACGAAGGAAAATACAGCTTCTTCTATGCCAGTATATCAATAGAGATTCACATAATCTACCAGAGACCATAAATTCCTTAAGGGTAGGTTATCCAATTCATATGTATATCCTCTACACCTAATAGAGCAACTGGCACATTGTAAACAATGTTAGCTGAATTAACTCCTCCTATAAGTCATCATTAAAACAAAACAAAACAAACAAAAAGACACCACTATGATTTCCTAGTAGCAAATGGAATGAGTCCTAAAAATTAAACTGGAATGTAGAATGTTAAGGAGAGAAATAATAAATCAGGATGAAATTCACACTTCTTCAACTATATACATTTTTTTTCAGCTCTAGAAGAGATCTTCCATTTGAGAGAGCAACCATAACTAAAATCTTATAAAGATTCTGTTTCTTAAAAATCAAATTCTGCTAGCTAATGTTAGAACTAGAATTAGAATCAGATTCTGCGTCCCATGCTCTGGTTTGGTTACTTAAAAATTTAGAAAAATCATCAACGTGCTAGTTACTTTAAACCAGTTGGTGTTTGAACTGAGAACTATACTGCAAACACAGTAACAGTTTAAGACTTTAAAAAAAAGCAAAAAGAATACATTAGAAAGTTCACAGGCTTCTAATCTTGGCTCTTCCAATTGTTAGTTAATTAGAGTAAATTTACTTAACTTCTTTGAATCTGTTTCTTCATTTGCAAAATGGGACAGTTAAGGCTTGCTATAAGTAAATGAAATAACTGGTTGGAATTATGATAAATTCCCAATATATGCTAGTTATATTCTATTAAAATATACAATTGGTGTCCAGGAATAAGTAAGTGAATCTGGTAGTTTTTTGACAATATAAGAACTTGAATAAAAAGGTATGAAAATTTTCATAAAAAATATATTAAACATACTTATATAACTTCTGACATTTTTAATTATTCTAATATTGACATAAAACATTCACATATAAGAAATGGAATGATAAAAATTTCACATGCTAAGGAACATTTTGCAGATATTATTGCAAAATATATTTTTTCAACTGCTAGACTTTTTTCCCATCTATCTATGATTTAACATTATGTACATACACAATATAATGTAGTAACATACAATAATATATACTACATAATATTATATACATAATAGATATATTATTGTAAATAGTTGTCATTAACTCTAATTCTGGTAAACAGCTCAGCAATGTAGGTATTACCATTATGATTTTAGAGCTGGAGATTCAGTAATACTAAATAACTTATTCAGAATTACATGATCTCTTCAACAATCCAATCCTCTTTCTTGAATTTCCTTTAGCATAAACCAAACATAACGGTCCAAAAAATTCAACTGCATGAAGTGATTAATGAGAAACAGATTTCAATTAGCCTATAAGGTATACGTGTCAATGTCTCTTACACCCCCAAACAGTAAAGATAATATAACACACTGTACAAAACTAAATGCACAATAAACTGATAATGAAACATCACGTTTCTAACCAAATCAAGCCTACTGCTGAGGACACTCATTTTAGCTCCCCATTTAAGAACAAAGGATTAAGTGCAGACAGAAGCCAGTTGCCAGTCACATCCTAATTCTCATTATTGTGAGACGTATCATCACAGGCTTTTATTATAATAACTCTAAGCTGATGACTTAAGTCTCTAATTTCAGCTCTGACCCTGTCTGAGTGTCAAATTCAAATACCTCTCCAAATGTTTTTTTGGGGGAGTATTCTCATTTCAATTTACCAATATCTATCAGATAACTAGCATTATAATTGGTCCCCTTTTCTTCATGCTAATTCACGGACAAAATCTGCCTATTTTCCCTTCTGTGTTTCTTTGAATCCAACTCTTACTCTACATCAGCTAGTTCAGGCCCTCAAAATCTCTGAAAGGACAACTTATAGAATCTTTATATGCCTGATCCCTCACCCCCAAATCCACACTGCCATCAGTTATCTGAAATGTACACAGGAACATGACAACCTTTTCTTAAAATCCTCTGAATGATCTTCACTAGATGAAGTCTAATCTCTCTAGCAGAGCAAACCAAACCCTTAAGAGCTATCTATCTACCCTGCTTGTAGTACAGAATCAAACAAAAATACTGACTCCTGGTAATAAGTCATACCGGTGCTTTATTTACCAGTTCCCTTTTTGGGCACAGCCTGCATTCATCTTTAATTGGATAGCTGACACATTCCAGAACTCAGGTGCTCCAGAAACCTTTCCTACAATTTCCTTTCTCTGTGCTTTCACAGCAACCTGTGCATAACACTATTTAAAAGTGTATTACATCACCTCCCCCTAGCTATAAGGTTTTTCATGGGCATGGTTCATATCCTCTTCTTTAGTCAGTGTCTCCATTTAGCACAGTGTATCATGTAGGCACTCAGTGAATGTTTTTTAACCAAATATTTGAACTATATAGATAATACTGGTAAAATAGGATAGGAACCTAGATTGCTGTAACTCCAAACCTTACCTTCTTTCTATTGTACCATTCTAACTCCGGCTTTGCTCTTTGCAAATAAAGCCCCAATCTAAATAAACTGAATGCCTACTATCACAAATATCTTCCAGATTTTTCCTTTGCACTCTAAGATAAAGTTTTATTCTTATAATTTATGCCTTGAATTATAGAGATACATTAAACAATAAACATTCTGTAAAGCAATAATGAAAAACTTTGTAAAAAGAAAGCAGCAGTAACTCAAGAAAAATCCAAGCATCTATAGAAAATAAAATCACATACTCATTTTAAGTTTATGAAGATGATTTAGTACCATCAAAATTATCAGAAAAATAAGGAAACCAAGCTTCCAATAAAAGAGCTGACATTAATCAAATGATTTTTAAGTTATACTTGTACATCACGCAGATTGTTACTTACAAAACAGAATAGAATCAAATATGTAAGCAATAACCAAAATAAGAGTCAAATAGCTTCAGAAAAGCATCTGGTAAATGTTCCAAATATGTGATGTCAAACATCAGTGATAAGAAGAAATAAATGCATTTGAAGATGATGAAAACAATGCATAAACCAATGAGTTAATGAACTTCCAATGACTTGTGAATGTAACCAAAATATATTTCAATTTGTAGTATTTTTAAAAATGCCAAATACAGATAGCCAAAGGCTTAGAAACTGGATAAAAGAATTAAAGTACACAATAAAAACGTTAAGTTCTTATCCTACCTTATTTCTAATATTGAAAAACAATGCAATCCTAAAACAAACTGTGTTAAGTTAGGGTAAGTCAGATGGCATCGAATATCCAGATACCAAAACAAGGGAGAAGACATGAACAACCATTAGAAAGTAATTCTACTTTTTCGTTATCTATACAGAGCACCATCTCTGCCTCTCCCCCTGCCCCCAGCTTTCACAAAGTAAACCAACAAACGTTATACGTACACACAAGCTGACTCTTTCTACGATTTGAAACGCAATGGTTCTTTCTTCGCAGTTCTTCAATATTGTTTTGGCTCACCGCATTTAGTGATCATTTCTTCTTAAAATATTGTGCGCGCTTTTTCAGTCGTTATTACAATTCCGTTTTGCATCTACTTGTAATTAAAAGAAACCTACTTCCTGGGCTAAAATTTGTACACAAGTAAACTCTTATTTTCATAATAATAATAGCTAACATATAAGTACTGCTTTTCTTTTTTCCTATACTAAGTATTTTACATATACTCATTCTTTTAGTCCTTAAAATATCTCTAGGCACTCTTACTTACTGGAAAGGGGACTTGGCCTCACGAACAGTAAATGTCAAAGCTAGGATTAAATTTAGGCAGCCTGATGTTCTTCAAACATAAATCTTCTTCCATGAATTTTACATCTCAATTTCCATGCTTTCTTCACATTTTCCTTCCGCAGAGACCCATTAAGTTTTTTCTCACCACTTATTATACATCCACTAACCATGGAGTCTACAACTTAAAATATTCGATCTTCTCTAACAGTTTTGTTCCCATTTTATTTCATCTTGACTAACATAACCTTTAGGGAAAAAAAAACTGACTTAGTGATAAACTATTTTGTAAATGTGCAACTAAGTGTTTTTTTGTTGTTGTTTTTACTGAAAACATTGTCAACTAAGTCTTTTTAAGAAACACCACGATCTCCCTACGTCAGAGTTCCTCTACAGATATCCAATTAGAGACGGCATTCTCATTACACCTGCTTCAAACACGCTGTTCCAAAGGATCGATTTCATGAGAATTACTCTACTTTTCTTTCTTTGCATATAAAACTATTATTTGAAATTTTAAAAAATCCATTCCCTCACTCTGTCAATTTTTCAGTTTCTAAATTCATATACTCATCAACTACACAAATTTTTCCTTTCCTTTTCACTAACTCTCTTAAATGATAGCTTTTTTCTCTGAAGGTCCAGCGCCACCTGGGCTGCACTTGCTATTCCGTGCTGGGCTCTGCGTGTTTTTCTGCGAGTGCGCGAGAATCTTCCAGAAGGTTTTAGTCACACAGGAGCGTCGGCCATGTTGATTTTCCTCTCCCGTGGAGATCTACTCTGTCGCCCACGAAACTTGAGGCGCTGGAGTCCTTCGGAGTCAGGGCCGAGGCTGCCTGCATCAGGCTATGAAGAGGCTTTACGTTTCCAAGAGAGGCTCGCTCTGAGGGCTCTGAGTGGCCCAAGTGACGAGCCCTGCAGTCGCTCCCACTGCGGGGGAGCGTCCGGAAACGACGGCCGACTCGGCACCCTGCTAAGAGGCGGGCGAGGGGCAGGTGTGTCGAGGGAGATTCGAAACCGGTACTTACCACTGCGAGGCGTTGCCTGACTTTTCCTCTGCGGGTTTCAGGAAGACCCTCTGTAGGTTATTGGACATTTTAGAGGGGTGGGAGGGGCCAGCACATCCAGGAAAGTGGGCAATGGGGGGCCGAGGTCCTCCAAAGGGCGAGAACCTGAGCGAGAGAATGTTGGGCTGGAGGTGTCCCGGAGCAACTCAGGTTCGATGCTGAAAGGAGGGCGACAGTCGGGTCTAGAGAGGGCGTAGCCCCAGCCTTTGGAAAGAGGCGACGCAGCCACCAGAAACCGGAAGAATCAAAGCGGCTGACGACGCCGCTCCGGCCCTAGCCTCTGAGAGGAGCGACCCGAGTCTCCGCCCCCGCGGGCCTACGACATTGCTCCAGAGCCATCCGGAGTCAACACGGAAGGCGTGGCCTTACTGGCGCCGCCCCTAGCAGTGCCGGGTCAGTGGAGAAGACAGTGCCGGACGGGCTCGGCCGACCCCGCCCACCGAAGCCGCCAGCCGGGCAAAGCTCAGTCAGCCGCTTCCGGGATCGTCACGTCCGGTTGCCAAGGTGACTGGCTCGTTGAAGCACCGCCCTTATGATAGGACCCAATCGCAAGTGAGGTTTGCTATCTCTTCTTCCGGATCAAGTAACGAATCACAAAAGAATATTCTCAAGATACCTACGCAAAATAAAATGTTTCCGGGGTCATTCGTAAATTTTCTGTTTCTGTGTTCGCCGCTAGTGTAAGTTTTTTCTTCCCGCCAGGGCTCTAAAAGATGTCGGAGGGCTCTTTTGGACTCATTGTGCACGGGTGGTGTGTGAACCTTTTGAACGCCTGCGTGTAGCCAGCGCTGTATTTCTTGCCGCTTTCTGGGGTTTTCGTTTTTTTCCTCTTTCTTGAAGCTTTGCTTATAGTCTTAACCTTTCCTCCACCCCAGGCTTATCTCATTCCTCGGTCAAAATTATTTATGGTCGTATGGTTAATTCGTTTAATTCTCCAAAAGTTTCATTCTCCATATATTTTTTTTTTTTTTTTTTGCATCTTCATTTGGATCTCCAGAGAAGTTCTTTTCAGAAGTCTCTTAATTTCACGTTGTTGAATCTCTTTTTTGAGAAACGGGTTAAGTCTCTGGCTTAAAGAGTAGACATTTTAGTTCAGCTGGAGCTAGAAGGAAGTTGTGGGAGGAGTGGTTTAGAAGATCGTTTTATCAGGTATAGGCAATAAAAATGTAAGCTGGCTCATACTGACTGTTCAAATTTAGAAGGCTGGCATAAGGTGGCCAATTCAAAAGTTTATGTTCGTCTTTTTAAAATTCTGGTTACTCATTCCTCTAACTCTTTAAGGAGCCAGTACCTGATTAAAGAGCTTAATGTCCTGATACATTAACAGAAAGGTTAGTTTCAGCGATACAGAATTCTGTATGTGTAACTGGCATTTATCTTTCAAATATCTCCCATACTAAAGGGGCAGGGTGGTGAGCCTAAACTGTCTTGGTTTTGGTCATCCTGCGATATGTGAAAGCAAATTACTTGAATAATTTGACCATTCCTGGCTTCTTCCATGTTTTTATCATTTATTTCTTACCTTTCGCATTCTTAGTTCTCATGTCCATCATCTCGTCCTATAAATGAAACTCATTTGTCACAGATTGATTTCCCTGTGAAGCAGACTTTTTCAATGTATTTTGGTGTAAAGGAAGTTTATTAGGGATCAGTATTTAGGGAACGGAGGGAAAGGAAGTAAAATTGGGAAGGGGGAGAAGTTGTGATGCCCAGTCTCAACAAAGGCCTTAGCCAATTCCACATAGACCTCTAAGATGCGATGTACTTTCAAAGTTTTTCCCAGTAGGAATGCAGTCTTTGCCAAGGAAAGGTGTATGACCCTAGGCAAGGAGGATCTCTTTAGCCAAGGCAATTACTCAAGGAGGTTAATAGCTGAGACATGTCTGCTGGCAGCACTCCCAGCAACTGGTGGAATAAGACCTTTATTCCTCAAGGGAGGTCCCAAAGATACATGACAGCATCCACAGTACTCATTAAATCCCTCATTCAACTGTTGAAATTAATGCTGTTTATCTCACATTCATTCAGATCTGTATTCAGCAGCACTTTTAGTTATTCCTTCACTCTTGATGCATTTGGGAATATACTTTCTTGGTTTTCCTCCTACTTTTTTGTCTACTCCTGTCTTTTTTGGAGGTGTATCCCTCCCTTCTCCGCCATTAAATAAAAGAGTTTCTTAAATCTTCATCATTGATCCTCTTATTTTTCTCAAACTCTCATGTCTCCTCAAATGATTTATGGCATACCCATAGCTTTAATTACCACTTCTGCTCATTGAAATACTAACTAAATGCTCATATAATACTGCCAAGCACTATTCAAATATTTTACAAATAGTAACTCATTTACTCTTAACAACTAGTAAAAATTACTACAGATAAAGAAACTGATGCACAGAGAATAACATAGCCAAGAATAGATAAAGGGCTGAGGGTAAGACCAAAAAGAAATTAGAGCATATTAAAATATGTACCTCAATAGCAAAAGATAGTGACAAATTTAAGGAACAACTGACAGGAGTAGATTCGTAAGTCCATACATGTAGAGGATGACTTTACAAACACATCTCAGAAATTAATAGTTGAAGCAGACAAAAAATTGGCATAGATATCAAATTTCTAAACAATAAATCAGATCAAGCCAGTAGATATGTAAATAACTCCATTCATTGGATAGTTCACCGTTATTTTTAATTAATTAGTTTATTACTTAAGTAATCTCTACGCCAAACATGGGGCTCAAACCCATAACCCTGAGATCAAGAGTTGCATACTCTTCTGATTGAGCCAGTGAGACACCCTAGTTCACTATTATTTTTAAGCATATGTAGAATATGTATAAAAATAAGCCATGTATTAGGTAATGAAGCCCTAATAGTTCCAAACAATCAATACTATACAGACTATGTTTTCTAACTGCAAATTGATTAAATTAGCAGTTCAGATAATAAAGAATAGCTTTGACACATTTAGAAACTAAATAAGCTATTACTAAATCACCCTTGAATTAAAGATGAAATAATGGAAATTAAGTGACTTAAATATATTAGTCATAAGAATATTAAATGAGTTATGCATTCAATTTAAGAAGTATTAGAAAAAAACAAAACCAAAAGAAACAAGAATAAGTGAAGTATACAACAACAAAAAAATTTCATTAAATTAACAAGACCAGAGCTTGTTCTTTGATAAGACCAATGATAGAGATAAACTGTTATGGGGCATGTGGGTGGCTCAGTCGGTTGAGAATCTGTCTTGGTTTCAGCTCAGGTCATAACCTCAGGGTCATGAGATCGAGTCCCACATCAGGCTCTCCGCTCAGTGCAGAGTCTGCTTGAGATTCTTTCTCTCCCTTTCCCTCTGTCCCTCCCCCCAAAAATAAACAAACAAACAAACAAAATCTGTAAAAACAAGGGATAAACTGTTAGCAAGATTGATCAAGCCAAAAAGATGATGCAAGTAGGCAAAATACAGAATAAAAAGGGAAAACTATAAATACAATAGTGATTTTTCTTTGTAAGTATTATGAACAGCAGTTATAATGCAACACTTGCTGAATCCTGCTACAATGATGAACTACCACTAGCTGCTGTTTCTTTTATCTAAATTATAAAAGGAAAACATTTTAAGAACTAAGAGAATTTTTGAAAACTGAGGGAGCTGAATGCTGTTTTATTTTATCTATGTATGTATGTATGTAATTTTTTAATTTTTATTATGTTATATTAGTCACCATACAGTACCTCATTACTTTTTGATGTAGTGTTCCATGATTCATTGTTTATATAATGCTCCATGCAGTACCTGTCCTCCTGAAGGCTGTTTTAAAGCGATGAATGTATGTTGCAAGGGAAGAAGGTAGCTGCAGTCTGGGGTGGAGAACAGTTAGCGGACACAGTGAAAGAATAGGTTAGAAAAAGGAAGTTTTAAATTATTCTGTTGTCTCCCACATTGTCTTGGGGCAATCAATGCCTGTCTACTTTCAGAAGAAATTTAAGGAAATAATCCAGATCTCTGGGTAAATCAGCAAAAGAACACTGCTGAGGTGAAGCATGAATAAAATAAATTAATTTTACTGAGAGACTCAGGCATTCATTTCTCTATATCTCTCTCCCTCAAAATCCTAAGGAATCACAGTCTAGGGACACAGCCTCTTCCAAAACTACACCTTCTTTAAGGCCAGTAAGACCTTGCCTGGAGGAGTTGGTTGGGGGGGCAGCAAGTGGAAATAATTAACTGATTTGGGGATCCCTGGAGTTCTGTGTCCTAGAGCTCAAACCCACCCCCTCCATTTTACTAGAAAATGACATAGATAAGGGTCAGGCCTTTGACCCTTACCCAAAACACATTACCAGGTAAAGCAGATAAAACAACAGGAGAATAGGACATCACAAACCAAAGTAACTAAAAACTGAAGGAGTAAAACTCCCTCAGAAGAAAGTGGATGGAATGATTGAAACATAATATAACCTGAAGAAGAGTTACAAAACACACCAAAATTTTAAATATGCATTATCAATCAAGTTAAGATTATAAGGTAAATTAAAATAATAGGAAACTGCATCAAGCAAAATCACAAAAAAAGAATAAAATGAACATATGAAGTGTAAGATATATAAGTTAAAATAAAAAATAGACTACATGAGATCTATAGTAGATTGCATACAGCTACAGAAAAATGTAGGAAACAGATTAATGAAAAAGTTGAAAGGCAGTAGGAAAGGATAAAAAGAAAGTAAATATAAAAAGAAAAGTTAACATCTGTATAAGATAAAAGTAGAAGCAGTGTGCCTGGCTGGCTCAGTTGGTAGAGTATGTGACTCTTGATCTCAGGGTTATAGGTTCGAGCCCCATGTTGGGTGTAGAGATTACTTAAAAATATAAAATCTTTTTTAAAAAAAGATTAAGGTAGAAGTGCCAATATCTAGATAATAGGAATTGCAAAGGCGAAAAAACAATTTTTTTAAACTCTAAAAACTATTTTTCTAGGATTAAAGAAAGTAGAAAGATGCAGATGAAAAGAGCCATGA